AGGCCATGGGGCTTCTCCTGCAGGCTCAGGGAGCCCAGCCCTTTTACTTTATTTTGAGACAGGGTCTCACTAAGTTACTCAGCTGCCCAGGCTGGGTCTGAACTTGAGATGCTTCGGCCTCAGCTTCCCAGAGTGCAGGTAGTACAGACGTGTGCCACTGTGCTGGCATTAGCATGTGCACACGGGCACCTGCCTGGCTACAGCGTGAAGCCAGAGGCACAGGTCGGCACCTGGGCGCGGGCTAGGCTGCACCTGGTGGAGCAGAAGGCCTGAATGTGCTCCTGGTTCCTTAGGGCCTCCACTCCAGGTGCGGAAATTGTGTGACAGCCACGAGTGACACTTGAGTCTGCCAGATGGGTGGCCTGGAAGGAAGTGACTGCATTTCTCAGCCTCCCTGCCCCTGAGCCTCTGAGCTGCTCTGTGCGTGGGGACAGCTGTGTTTCCTGTCCCCAGCATCTCCAAGCCGGAGACCTTCACTGCCAGCATTCTGGGAAAGGAGCTGACTGCTGCACCTTGGTCCAGAGGCAGAGAGGAGTACAGCAGGAATCACGTGAGGCCAGGCTACTGGCTGGCTGGACAGTGGCAGCTAAAATAGCAGAGCCAGGCTGGCGCAGAGGTGCGTGCCCACTATCCCAGCACTGTGGGAGGCAGAGGCAGGAGGATCGCAAGCCTGAGCTCAGTCTGAGCATCTCAGAAAGACTCTCAAAATAAAAGGACCAGGGATGCCAGGGCCAAGGACTCAGGTCCAACCCCTGTACCACTTAGCCCCTCGGAAAGCAGAACACTTCCATGTGTTTAGATACTTTAAACGGCAAAGCCTGGCTTCCCATCCAGCTGTTCCCTGGGCACTCAGAGCTTGGTTTCCTCAGCCTAGCCATTGTCATGGGCTGGTGTTGGCTGCCTGGAGCTGGATTCCAGCTCGGCACCTCACTGCTCCAGTATCCGAGTGACCTCCGTCCCCCTCCGTGTTGCCCAGCGTCCTCATGAGCACGCCTTCTTGCAGTGGGCTTCTCTGAAGAACAGCCCAGCTCATGCTGTAATTCTCACAGCCGAGCAGGTGGCCCGTTCTTGCCCCGCCCACAATGCTCTGTCACCTCTCGTCATCTTGACCTCATCTTCCAGTATGAAATTTTAGTTTTCTATCAAAATTCACTCGAGTGCCTTTTTATATATTTTTTTTATTTTTGTGGCCAGCTCAGCCCACCCTGGGGTCAGGGCTGGCACAGCACATGGTGCCGGGGATCAAACCTCAATCCCTGTGCGCTTCCCTAAGCTTGCCTAAGCAGGCACTTTAGACTACTGAGCTATCTCACTGGCCCTCCAGAGTCTTTCTGAGACACTATGTTCTGTGTCGCCCAGGCTTGCTTCAAACACATAGCAGTCCTCCTGCCTCAGCCTCCCAAGGCTCTGTACAGTGACAACCAACCTGAGTCAAGTGAATGTTGGCGACATGAGCTGACCACATGAGCACATCTTGGAACCTGCCACTGCAGGACAGCTGCTGAGGGGCTGTGCAGCTCCCAGCCATGACAGAAACCTGTAAAAGAAACTTTTCCTTAGCATGATGGCCATGCCTTCGAAATATGTGTTTTCCCACCAAACCTATTGCCATGGTTACCCTCTTAAAACAAGCTGAGACCTGATGGGCAGGGAGAGCCCAGGGCTAATTACAATAGTGCCTTAGTTAGCTGCCTTTCTTCTGAGCATTTAATGGACCTCACTCATTAATTTCCACAAAACCCTCTGAAGTCCCGAGGGGACAGATCCTCTTAAACCCATTTTACAGATGCAGACACTGAGGCCCAGGTGGGTGAAGTCACTTCGCCACTAACTGGCAGCTTTGCCACAAGCAAGTCTAGGCCGGCCGGGCTCCTCCTGCTTCCTCAATGTCTGGAGACGCAGACTCCATCCTGGATGTGGAAAGCTCATCATTAAAGGATTAGTGCTCCCAGAGCCCGGGTCAGGGAGCCCAGGCCTCGAAGCCCAGGGCCAGCTGGACCAGGAGGCTGTGCAGGCAGCCGGGGCCTGGGGGGCCCAGCTGACACTGAGTGCCTGCTAGGAGGAAGAGGACTCTGAGGGGGAGGACAACCAAGCATCTGCGCGGGCGCTACACGTCGGCCCAGCTTCCTGTTGAACATTTTTAACACAAGGAACCAGGGGCCTACACATCCCGTAGGTGGCACTGGAGCCATGGAGAAGGCGACACTGTCCCAAGGCAGAGAGAGGAATGAAAGATTTCAGAACTCCTGGAGCTGCGCATGGTGGTGCATGCCTTGCGATCCCAGCACTTGAGAGGTTGAGACAGGAGGATCATCGTGAGTTTAAGACCAACCTGGGCTACAAAGTGAACGCAAGGTCAGGACCTGGTTTAAAAAAAAAAAATGTCCTGGAGACATCAGCTTTCCAGTGGGCAAGGGTGAGAGCTGCAGAGACCACAGTCGGGGCAGGAGTCACGGTGCTCGCCTGTCATCCCCACCCTAGGGAGACTGAGGCAGGACTGTAAGGAGTTCAAGGCCAGCCTGGGCTACACAGTGAGCTAAAGGCCAGCCTGGGCTACCCAGTGAGACCCTGTCTCAATGAACCAAAAATGAATGAATGAATGAAACTCAAGGCTACCAGGAAAAAGCTGGCCTAGAGCCAGCCCGACAGCTTTGAAGTTCCAAAAACAGGCTGTGGAGGGCAGGGTGGTGACTGCCTCCTCCCCTGAGATGCACAGCCCCAGCGCTCCCAGGCAGGAAGTGAGGGGCACAGGCTTCTGGCTGACCTCGGGGACGGGCCTGGATTCCATACCCTGTGGCTCCAGCCCCTGCCGCTCCAGGTCCAGGCCTCCACACCTCTGACAGAGAGGACTTCAGAGTCATCAACAAACACAGTTCTCCAGTCCTGTGCTTGCAATGGCCGGGGTACTTGGAGCACACAGGTCCCCAGAATAGACCCTTTAAATATGAACTGTCTGGAATTTTTAATTGTATTAATTGAAAATTTACATGTGAATAAAATTACATTTAAAAATAAAACCTGCCAGGTGTGGTGGTGCAGGCCTATAATCCCGGCAGTCAGGAGGCTGAAGCAGGAGGATCACCAAAAGCTTGAGGCCAGTGTGGACGACAGGGACTTTAAGACCAGCCTACACTACAAAGTGAGACAAGAAAAGGGAATAAAAGTTATTAGGCTGGACTTCTCCCTACATGTTGAGATATGTCACTTATATCTCTTGATATACATCCAGCTACTGCAGATACCTAAATAAAGGCAAATTCCAAGTATTGAGCACTTCCACATTTTCCCACAAAGAAAAAAATGACAGCAATTTGTACATATAGATTTTTTAGGAACATCAGAGAAATAATCAAATATTTACACATTGCACTTACTTATATATAACACAAAAATTATTCTTTTCAGGGCTGGTCAGATAGCTCAGTGGATTGAAGCACCTGCTTAGGCAGATACAGGGACGGGGGTTCAATCCCCGGCATGCCATGCCGGGCCCGCCCCTGCGGCACACTGAGATGGTGATTAAGACTGGGCATGGTGACCTGCACCTGTAATCCCAGTGCTTGGGAGGCTGAGAACAGGAAGGATCACTACAAGTTCCATTTCTATAGTGAGACCCTGTACTAAATACATAAAAGAAAAAAAGAATTACTCATTTTAGTATCTTGTGTCTTCTCCCAGAGTTCTAGGTGAATTCTGTCACTCAGATCCCACTCATTTACTTTGGACTTCACAACTTCGTGGCCAGATGAAGTCAAGTTTAAGAATCACTTCAAAACCCAATTAGTCAAATAAAACAGCCAGGCGGGTTCGTATGCACTGCAAGTTTAAGGCCCTGCAGAAACTTTTAAAATGTTTACAAGGCCACAGCCACCCTGGGCTCGCAGGTGTGGCCCCCATAACTGCTGTCCCAATGGCCTTTAGGGTCTTCTCCTCACGCTTTTAGCTTAACCCCAAGTAGGCAGTTAAATAAACTTTATTATATAAAATACTCTGATGTTATACAAGAATGGGGCACACTTTCCTGGGAAGATGTGCACCATGTGAGTGGACTACCACTGTGAAAACGAGTCATGGTGCAGCATGCCTGGGGCCATCAACAGACAGGGTCCAACCAGGTGTGCGCACTGCTGTGTGCAAAACGGAAAACCTTCAGGAGCCCTTGATGACTCAGGGTCACTGTGACAGGGACACCTCCTTGCCCAGTAGAACAGCAGGGAGAAAGGCCATGAGCCAGGCCTCGGGACCAAGGACTGTCGTGGGCCATGATGCCTCCAGGAGACGGCTGCTGTGCAGAGCGGCCTGCCCGGCTCCATGTCCCTGCATGCTTCCTGTTTCCAGAGCCACCTATTGAGCACTGAAGGCCACTGGGGAACCACAGTTGCGGGGACAGCTGTGGGGCAGAGAGGGCCTGCAGGGGCTGGCACAAAGCAGCATATGGCTGGGCAGGGAGTGAGCCGGTGACTTAGCACTGGGGACCGCAAGGCGGGTGCGTGGGCACACCCTAGGAATGGCTGGGTCAGGAGAAGGGAGTTGTCCATGTTCTCAGACCCAGCCTGGCAGTGCCACTCTTTAGGGCCCCAGAGAGGAGCAGGACTGAGAATCAGGGGCCACATGGCCCAGGGTGAGAGTGGGCTCCTGGCTTCAGCCCCTGCACCGTCACCAGTCGCAGGCAAGCGGAATCCTTCCTTCCTTGGGACCAGATGCCTGCTGGCCTTGAGGGACACAGCTCTCCTGTGGACAAACGCCAGCTCACAGGCCACTGGGGGACAAGTGACCCATGCTGTCCCTGCCTGTGGGGTGGCAGGAGGGGAGCACGAGAGATGACTGCCACCGCAGCCCCGCGCTCAGGCATCTACTCCAAGGCTAGTACATTGGGCAGCCTCACTCCATGGTGAGGAGCTCAGCCGGTCTCCAAAGGCACCTCTGAACTCGTGCCTGAAAGACTGCAGGAACCAAAGGTAAGTCTCATCCATTCAAGGCAAGGGTCTCTCTCAAAGAAGTCGTTGAAATGAAAGTATTTATTTTATGAACGTCTCCGCCAGCGAGTTTCTCTCTAATTGCACCTCCACTGAAAAAGCCTATTTAATCTCCTGCCAAGTGGAAGGAATAAGCTGTCGCTCCCACTTCTCTTTTACTGCTATAACCATTAATTTGCACGGCTGGTATAAGAATAGTTCTAGAACACCCCAAAATAAGGGGCAAGTGAGCCCGAGACGATGCCCCAGCATCCTGGGTGGGAACCTGGAGTGGCAGGTGTCCCCGGCAGCTCTGTGGGGACAGTAGCAGGTACCACAAGAAGGGTCAGAGTACAAGTGTGTCCCTGGTGTGGGATGAGCCTTCAGCTCAGTGACTTTTGTGCATTACTGAAACAGCAGCAGGTGACAGCATGGAGAAGGTGCTGGGCACTGGTGCCCAGCAAGCACCTGCCCATGTGTCCATCTGCCTTCAGTCCTCCGTCCATCCATCCGTCTGCTCAGGGGAATGGGCGGCCTCGGCCACGCCGGGAGCGCAGGTGGCCGGCAGAACGACGCAGCTGCCACCTCTCTAGCCGGTGCCGCTTCTCAGCTTCCTGCCTCTGTTTCTGTTGCTCAGACTGAAAGAGAAGACAGGGTGAGGACACCAGCAGGGAGGTCACCTCAGGAGACAGCAGCACTGAGACAGCAGCGGGGACCACAACACGCCTGCCCAGTCCTGGTCCTCAGGGCCTCCAGGGCTGGGTCTTCTTTTTTCTAGAGCTGGGAGCTGAGCCCTGGCCTCACCTATGCTGGCCAAGCAGCCTAGCATGGAGCAATAAATGTCTGCGGCTCCATTCTAAATTTCAATCTGAGACAAGTTGGCTGGCCTCCAGCTTGGGATCCTTCTGCCTCAGCCTCCTGGACAGCCAGGACTACAGGTGTGCACCATCACTCCTGTAAGGAGTATTTTGTATCCTCAGGAGGCCAGCACTTTGGCTTTACAAAGCCACACTGGGTACAACCACCAATGCCCTGACACTTCAGCTACCAAGATCACCATGGCTCTGGGTGCCAGAGGCCTTCAGGCAGGGTCACAGCTTCCTCTGCGAGATAGCTTAGGACAACAGCCAAAGCTGACACGTGCACACACCGATGCTGGAACAGCTTACCTTCTTCAGAGTGAATGTCAGCTGCTTGCTGCCCACGCTGGTGTCAGCCACACTCAATGTTCCATGTTTGGCTTCCAGTTTCAACCGATCCTCAAGGGTTTTGCTACAGGGAATTTCACACAGCGATGTTAGATGGGTGAGTTAGGACAGACTGCAGAAGTCTCCCATGCAGGCACGAACACAGAGACTGCTCCTCCAACCACCACAGAGAGAGTGCAGTGACAACATGGCTACGCCCACCATCTTGACACCCGCTCCCTGGAAAGCGCAACCCATGACGATGCCTCAGAAACCAACTGCTGCACACACGGGTATCCAGTACGGAGGAGGCAGTGACTCTCTCTTACCTCACTAAAGCATATCTGTGAGGTCAAACGCAAGGAATAACCTACCCCCCCTTTTTCTAGAGGTGGGGGCATGGTCTTACTATGTAGTCCAGGCTGGCCTTCAATGCCCATTGATCTTGCCTTGAGCTCTAGAGTGCTGCGACTACAGATGTGACAGGAGCAATCCATTTCTGAAGCCTGTGATTAACTATAGTGGGCAGTGGTGTGGCAGAGCCCAACATTTTAAACTTAAACCATACACAAGCAAATTTTTATTTTATTTATTTTTTATTTATTTATTTATATTTATTTGTGTGTGTGTGTGGCCAGCTCAGCCCACCAGGGGGCAGGACTGGCTGGCATGTGGTGCTGGGGGATCGAACTGGGTCCCTGATGCTTTGCTAAGCTTGTTCTAAGTAGGTGCTTTAGACCACTGAGCCATCTCACCAGCCCGACAAGCAAATTAATAAGCCAGATGTAGTGGCGCATCCCTGTAATCCCAGCACTTTGGAGGCTGACGCAGGAGGATTAGTTGAGTTCAAGGCCAGCCTTGGCTACATAGCCAAATCCTCCCCCCTGCCCCCCCCCCCACCAGGAATTGAACTCTGGGCCTCACATTTGCCAGGTTATATCTTGTCTCAAAAAATAAGAAGCACCTGCTTAGGCAGAACACAGTGGCTGAGGGTCGATCCTTGGCGTGGCATGGCATGGCATGCTGCACTGGCCCTGCCCCCAGGGCACAGGAGGCAGCAACTGAGCCTGGGAGTGGTGGTGCACACCTGTAATCCCAGATCTTGGGAGGCTGAACACAGGTAGACCACTACAAGTCTGATCTATGCAGTGAGACCCTGTAGACCTTGTACTTAAAAACAAAAACAAACAAAAAAAAAAACAAACAAAAAACGAACAGAGATACAGATTGTAAATATAAAGTGACCTAGAAGCATTTGGAAAGCATGACCAAGAAACAAAGAGAGCTTCCCCTTTGGAGTGCAATATATCAAAGAGACTAGTCAAAGTCTGAAAGGAAAGACTCCTGGGAGAGAGCGGGCGAGGCTGGATGCGTCCAGGTTCCCCGAAGCGGTGCTGCTTTGCTGTCTCTCAGGACAAGCTGCCGGGCTGGTGTGTCAGCTGTTCATGCCACAAGATGAGAAGAGCAGGATGGTCACAGTTCTTTGAGGTTCAGCCTGGAAACCTTAATTTGCTTTTGGTTTGGTTATCCTTTTTTTTTTTAATCTTTATTTATTTAGTACAGGGTCTCACTATACAGCTTGGACTTATAGGGATCCTCCTGTCTCAGCTGCCCCAGCACAGGCGTGTGCCAGCACACCTGCTGCCTGCAGGTGACATGCACCTGTGCAACTAACCACCCTCGTGTGCCCCCGTAACGATGTGTAACTAACCATCCTTGTGTACCCTTTGTAACGATGCTACACTTGATACACAATACTTTACTGCTACAGTAATGGTTTTGTTATGAATCAGAACATTGGCCTTTTTTGGTAAGTTGCTTCAGAGGGGAAGAAGTGAATTATGCCTAAAGATATATATTTTCAGTAAGTTTAAACAGCGCTGACTCTTAAAAGAAAGGGCTAAATCAACAGGGGAAGAAAAAAGGAATCTACACAAAGAAAAAAATCTCAAAACTGTAAAATATATACAATATAAAAAACATAAAAAATGTAATTTTCTATTGTTTCTTCCCACTCAAAATCAAGCCAACCAACTCTTCCTTTCCTTACACCCAAACTGGGTGCGCCTTCTTACTGCGTGAGCTGAAAGAACAGATGGAAGTTTTTAAAAAGGCTGATGTGAAATGGTGCTCTTACCCCTGAAACTCGATCCTGAGAGCCAGCCCTAACGGCACTGCTGCTCGGGGGTCCAGAGGAAGTGATGCCTCCCCAGGTCCTGAAGCCAAAGACACGGGCCACAGGGAGCATGTGGCAGCAGGAGCCGTGGCCAAGGCCCAAGGATTGAGTGACAGCGACCACGTAGGGCAGGTGGCGTGAGTGCAGGGAGCCCCAGGGTTTCCTGTCAAGGACAAACACGGCCAGGGCCCCAACTCACATGTAAACTAAAAGCCTCGACACCAGTCTCTCCTCGCTATAAACCCTGAGCTGCGCAAGGGCGGGACTGGGACAGCTCTGGAGCCACCCCGACCAAGCAGGACGGAGGGTGCTGGTGTGGGGGGAAGAGACTTGGAGAGAGCACTGCGGGAGACAGCTCCCCGGCAGCAGCTGACTTCCTCGCTCTGCGGCTGCGGCTCCCCATGCCTGTGCAGACTTGCTCGGCTGTGTCCCTGGAGGGGCTGGCTCCTGCAGTGCGGCAGATCAGAGTTGGGACCCCAAGCTTCGACATGACAGTGCCTGGTGCTGTTTAAAGGCACCTCAGAGACACCCTGGTGGCACACATGCAGGGCCCAGCTCCACCCCATGGGGTCAGGTCTGCAGACAAGGGGGCCTTTCTAACAACAGTGAAGCCAGGCATTGTGTGCAAACTCTGAGACAAAGTGAACACTACAACAGCAATCTTGTACCTATCATCCCAGCACCCAGGCAGCTGAGGCAGGAGGATCCCCTCAAGCTTGAGGGCAGCCTGGAGTACACAGCAAGACCCCATCTCAAACAGCAACAACGAACAGAACAAAACAACATGCAGCATTTAAAAAGTTGAGGGTGAAGTTGGACTATTCATGCAGGAAGTGGGGTGCTCTCCAGGAAAAGACCTAGTTGGTAAAAAGGCAAGGAAAAATAGCAAAGGAAAGAAAAAAAAAAAAAAAACGAAAAGACAAAAAATAACCCACAAAGGGAAAAAAAGGAGTAAGCTACAAGGGGAAAAAAATCAAATCAGGTATTCATAGGTGGCCCCAGAAAGCTAAGTGATTACTTCTTTGCGACATGGAAATATACACACCGCAATTTCTTTCAATCCTGTCTGTGCAATGGTGTCGGGCCTGTGAACCGCGGCTCGGGAGTGGGATTGCAAGGGACCCAGCCAGCGAGGGGCGGCCAGCGCCAATAGGCACTCTCTACTCACCTCGGCACTCCAGGGCTGTGCCCATGTGCCACTGCAACTGGACTAGACTTCAAGGAGTTGTTTAAAAATAAGCAAAGGAAGGACTAGTGTATGTGTTTGAGGCAGAATCTCACTATGTAGCACAGCCCAGGCTGGCCTCTAACTCAGATCCTCCCCCTCAGGCTCTCCCGTGCTGGGATGACAGTACACACCACGGTGCCCAGGTTACGCTGGTGTTTAATAGCAATGTTTTCTTTCTGCCTGCTCTATGCTCCATGCTCCACATGCTCTCTATCCCTCTGCTACATCACCCTGCCCACAGCACCACCCTCCACAGAGGAGCAGAGCTGCAGCCATGTCTCTACTCACTTCATCAGCTTTTGCTTGGCAGCTGACTCCTGGAAGCTGCGGAACTCCTCCCCTGCCTTGATCTCATAGAACTGGGGCTTCAGGACGGCCTGCTGGTCCTCCCGCCGCTGTTCCTGCCGCCGTGCCCGCTCCTCCTGCTGCAGCAGCCTCCGCTGCTTGCGGACCTCAGCCACCCAGGCCTTCTCATCGTCGGAGCTGGCCGAGCTCTCTGCGTCGCTCGGCCTGCCTTCCGGCTCTTCCTCCTCTTCCTGGAATCGAGAGGATTCACACTGAATCCTTGTTTTCTCCTCACAGCACTGGGGTGTGAGAGTACACGCTCTAGCCACCCTGAAGAAATGCCCACTCCAGGGGACAGAGACTACGGTGGGTTCACCTTAAAAACCTTGTTTTAGTGGGCCAGCTAGATAGCTCAGTGGACTAAAGCACCCGCTTAGGCAGAGCACAGTGGCCAGGGTTTGATTCCCCTGCATGCCATCGCCACCAACGTACACTGAGAATGTGATTGAGACTGGGCGTGGTGGGGCACCTGTAATCCCAGCATTTGGGAGGCTGAAAACAGGAGAATCACGAGTCTGATCTGTGTAGTGAGACCCTGTACTAATTTAAAAAAAAAATCCTTTCAGTAAAGGACATGCTGCTTAGAGCCACAGGACAAGTGTGCTTGAAGCAAGAGGACATTCTGAGGGTGATTTGTGGTAATGTGTCTTTTACTGTAATTTTTAAAACATTTAATCAGATTTTTTGTGTGTCAAACATTGACCACAATTGTGTCAAACACATGACACTGAGTCCTCATCCACCTGATTCGCCCAATATGACCCCATGTGACTCCTAGCTCCTCCCCAAAGTTACAATGACCAGGAAAGGAAGATTTTTTTTTTTTTTTTTTTTTTTGCGGTGCTGGGGATTGAACTCAGGACCCTGCACTTGCCAGGCAAGCGCTTAGTCTACTGAGCTATCTCCCCGGCCCCTGAAGATGCTTTAAGCCATTTAGGGCATTGAGGCATCCAGGACAGCCTCAGGACAGAGGACTGAGGACAAGACCCTCAGGACAGAGGACTCTAGCGCTGCCTCAGGAAGTGGCAAGGACGATGGAATGACAGTCCTCAAAGGCAGGGGAGGATGCTAAGGGGACTCATAGCTGTTTGGTTTTTACTGCAAAACATTAAAAAAAAAATTAAATATTCACCAAGATTTTTGATCACACCTCAAGAGTCAAACAACTAGGATGGAATTAAATATAATTCAAGTATAATCAAAGGGTGGCCAGGGAGACAGCTCAGCAGCACAGTGCCTGCCTGGCAGGGGCAAGGTCCTGGGTTCAGTTCCTAGGACACACACAAAAAAGGAAATATTGGCCCATTAAGTATAGTCAAAGGCTTCTGCTTCACATTTTTTGACCATTAATGAAACAGTGGCAAATTCTAAATGACAAAGAGCACATTACTTTTTCAGGAAGTTCTTGTTGTTCTAAGAGTTGCAATTTCTTTTTCCTTTTTTCACTGATTTTTGAAACAAGTGGATTCAAAAGTCTGAATTCTTCACTTTCTTCATCTACTTGGAAGTCAGGGTTCTCAAACATAACTTTAAATCGATCATCAGTGAGAATATTAGGAAGGCTCTATAAGGAAAGAGAAAAAAAAATTAATATCAGAACAAATCTGACTAGGGAGACAGCTTAAAAAAAAGCCACTCCTATTAAAAACAAGTAAGGTGTACAGGTATAAATTATTAACTTCTCACAGAGCTGGGATTCTCAGGACAGAAGAGGCCAAGACAAACATGGACACTGCCATCTGCAAGGTGGCCAACAAGCCCAGTATTTTGCAGTCAACATTCACATGCCTATTTTAGGTTAAAAACATCCTTAGGAAAATTTGTTCTTTTTGTATCTTACTGCATCTTACCGTACTGATTAAAGATGCAACCACATCTAATAAGCAGCAGGGAGTAATGTTAAAGTGTAGTTGGTTATTTCAGATTTTTCTGAATTTGAAAGAAGCAGGCCACATGGCTTGAGATGGGCTCGCTTTGCAGCCCGAGCCTCAACAGAGGGCAGGCTCTTCCCAGGCTGTGGAAATACTTCCCCCAGGGCAGCCAGCTTAAGAAAGTAAGTAGGCTCAGGCCTCACTCGGGTCTGGGGTGGTTTACAAGAGTCTGGTGCATTCCCTGCCATGTCAAAGCCCACGTGCACGTCAAGGTTGCCAAAACTGTCCCAGACAGCAGTGGCACAAGCACCTGCCCAGCCTGCAGCAGCCAGTCCCCAGCCCTGGCCTTCAGGTAAAGAGGGAGAGGCAGAGGCAGAGCCTGGCTGTGTCAGCACAGAGACAGGTGTGGGGACAGGTGCTACTCGGGGAGGAGATGAAGCCAGCCCCTGGGCTACAGGGGCCCCATCTCTGGGCTGAAGCCTCAGCAAGTGTGGGCAATTGGGCCAGATGCTGGCTCCCACTGCATCTTGGCTGCCTCCCCCAGCTAAGGTCTTTATTTTACGTGAAAATAGTTAAGGAATAAGTTACCACACTGGCTTTTAGTAGTGTTAGCTTTCTTTTCTCTTTTATAATATAGGGGACTGAGCTAAGGATCTTGGGACTGAGTTGCAGCCCTAGCTTTTTTACTTTTTGAGATGGAGTCTTACTAAGTCACCTGTGCCAAGGCTTGGGCTGAACTTGGGACTCTTCTGCCTCAGTCTCCATAGCCTCAGATTCACCAATGACCACACCTACTGTGTCCAGATTTCTGAACTGAAACTGAGCTCTGATAGCAGTGTAATTTTAAGAGAAACAAAGGTTAAAAAAAAATAAAACATATATATTTTTTTCACTGAAATTTTAACACCTCCTTTTCCTGGCTAGAAGAGTATGCGGTGGCTTTCTTGGTATATTTTCTATTTCCCAAACTTCCCTCATCCACTAAGGGCAGAGAATGGCAAAAATACCATATGTACTTGTCCACCTCCTCTCCCCCCCAAAAAATCACAGAAAGATCTAAGTGATTATCCAGAAATGCAAGTGTCCTCTGCCTTCTCCAAAGTCTTACCTTTGCTTTCTTTTTCCATGCCGACCTTTGTTTCTCTTCTTCTTCCTCCATTAATTTGAGAGCCAGTTCCTTGTTAACTTTTGGCAATTTCTAAGGAGGGGAAAGGCTGTAATATGGTTCTCTGCGTATTCTTTCTGCCAGGCAAGGAATTTCCCAGCCTGGAGATAACTCCATCTTACTTTCCCCCAGGAGGACACAGGGATGCTGTCACCAGCGCTGCATCGCTGGGCATCTCGTGCTGATGACAGGGACCTCAGAGGGACTGGAAGGCTAGAGAGCATCTGTGGCTCTACCCTGGGCACTGAGGCTGTGTGGGCCACACAGAGCCCGGGTCTGCCTGTGCCACCTGCCCCCAGTCCCTGAACTACAGCCCACGCAGAACACCAGGGGCTTCCTCCGTGAGTGACTGCCTGTCTCCAGCAACACCATCACCAAGTTTCTCCCAAGAAAACTTTAGAGCATCACCCTCCAGAAACAAATATAGCACAAATATAAGTAGAAGATGTGGACACATGAAGGAAAAGGAGGGCACATCTCTTCGGAGTAACATACAAAGTGGAAACCAATTACTCTTCTTTGGTAAGTTTGCAGGTGCTACTTACCTTTAACTGGACCCGCTGCGCACGTGTCTCTTCTATCTTCTGCCGAATTTTATCTCTCCTGTACTCTTCATAGGCAAATGGGTTGACCATCAGTTTGACCTTTTCAAAATGGAGCAACAAATGGTAGGCAGCACACACATTATCTTTGGTGGGTCAGAGAGCAGAGCTCCCTCTGTTGAGTCTGAGGAAAGCGTGAGTGGCAAAGAACAGCCGCAGACTGCTCGCCAGTCACCCCGCAACACGGCTTCCCGCTCACCTTGTGATAGAGCCTGATGTCCATGAAAAACCCATGCATGTAGGCCCGCAGGAAGGGTGAGCCGATGAGGTGTGTAAGCCCTGGGGGGAGGGATCGAACAGAGCAGGGCCTTAGCAAGGCTGCAGAAGACCGCTTTTCTTGGGGAATGATTTCATTACAATCAGATTTCACTTTGGGGTAAAAGGTAGGGATTAGAATTACTAGATTTCCACATCTATGGAGCACATTTAATCTGCTCCGTTAATACCATCTTCAGTGGGGCATACTGGCACACACCTGTAATCCTAGCAGCATTCCAGAGGCTGGGGCACGAGAATATAGCTCAAGCCCACACTGGGCAACTTAATAATTTAGTGAGACCCTGTCTCAAAAATAATTTTTTTATTTAAAAGCTAGAGATACAGCCCAACACAAAGGTACTAGGTCCAATCCCCAGTACTACAAAAAAGAAAAAAAACAGGTTGGGGCGTAGCTCAGTGACAGAGTTGCCTAGAATACATGAGGCCTTGGGTTCAATCCCCCAAACACTCACAAAGAAAGCAGTATCTGGGATCCAGAGTAAATGTAACTTATGCTGCCCAGGGGGAACTGGGGAGGGAGGGAAGTGAGGGATGCAAGGAGAAACATCACAGCCTTTGTTTCCAAAGACAAAAGACTTTGTCACAACAACAATGCTGAAAGGACACAGCCTTCCCAAGAAAGAACAGCTGACACTGTACGCCCCACATATTAACACACTTATGTGCGAGGCCCACATTATCCTCATACCCCTTCATCACCGCCTAATGAAAGCTCCCTGCCATCAGGGCCGGGTATCTAGCCTGAACATGCTCCAGCTGGCTTGAGCTGCCGGTGGCACAAGCGTGGCTATTGCCTCAGGTGGCCCGTCCACAGCAGCACGAGTGCTGGGCCCTGCACACTGGCAGAGGGAGATGCGGCTCCCTGCCCACACTGTATGGATACGCTCCAGACTCGGCCAAGACGAGTCTGCGAGGATCCAACATTGTTAAACACTGGTCTAAAGTCTGAAGGACTAAGGGACAGTGGTGATGCAGCTTCGCTTCTACCCTAAAGATAAACTGCTTAGGAGGCTTGTACTGAGGCAGAAATGTACTGGAAAATGACAACCATGGTTCACGTCATACTAAAAGGTATTAGTAATACTCATAAAGACACCTTGTAGTGTAGGTGCCATCTTACTGTGAGGACTATCTGTATAGATTTTTTTTTTTATGGGCAATGTGATTTCTTTAAACAAAATGTACCTAAACTAATCACTTTCTTCACCCTAAAAAAATTAAAGAGACTAAAAAAAAAAAAAAAAAAAAAAAAAAAAAAAAAAAAAAAAAAAAAAAAAAAAAAAAAACAACCCTACTCAAAATACACTAAAGGTAGTTGTTTAAAAAACCCAGAGGGCTGGGAGATAGCTCAGGCGAATAAATGATTGCCTGGCAAGTGCAAGGTCCTAAGTTTAGTACCACCAAAAAAACTAAAACCAAAACCAACCAAACAAAAAACCACAGAAACTTGGTGTGGTGGGGCAACTCAGATCCCAGCATTTGGGAGATGGAGGCAGCAGGATGCTGGTAAGCTGGAGGCCAACCTGGGCTACACAGTGAGACCCTGGCTCAAAAGCAAAACAAAAAACAAAACCTCTAAAAATAACCATGACCTTCCTCTTCTGGCCGAAGGGCATGTGGTGGTGCGTGTGCCACAGGGGCACGATCAAAAGCCACACTGGAGACACCTGAGAGGGCACTGCAGGCGGAAGGCGCCATGTTGCCCCATGGCATACACCAGTCACCTCTCCAGCAGGACGCAGAGCCTCTGTCTTTACAACACATTAACTGAAGAATTAATTCTGCCTGGATTAACTATGCTATGAGACAGGTTATAAATGAGGTTTCAGAACCGCTCAATTAATCTAATTAGTATGTGAGTATTCTTTTAATAGTCAACTGCTACTTTCATCTATTTGTTCCAACTGGGCTGCCCAGACTTGTGGAGAACGGATCCCTGTGCGTTCCCACTCTCCATAACTTACCCGGCCCGCTGCCAGCAACTGAGCACAGTCGCTGGGTCTCATGGTCGAGCCAGACAGTGCGGTCGCCTGCCTCCCCCTGCCTCAGCTTCCCTCTCCACAGTGGGATCCTGACATGGCAGTGTAAACCTGGCAGACAGGAAGCTCTGCCCTGGTGCTTTATTTGGAGATGCTTTTAGTCTGTGACCTCTGCATGGAAACAAACTACAAGCTAGCTCGTCCCCTGAGCTATGCAGCCAGTGGTCCAGTTCCAGAGCCTTCTGGCTTGGAGATCTTGCATGGACTCCACGGGTTGCTACAAGCTGGGCCATGGGGTCACTGCGGCCTGTGTTAGAGACTGGGTAAAGCAGATGTGGCAAGAAGGCAATGGTGCCCTGAAGAGGGGGCCCAGCAGAGGTCCTCAAAGATGAGTGGAGGCTCGGGGCGCCTCCTCTTGATCTTTTTGGGGAAGAGGGTGGTTGAGACACAAAGTCTTTTGCTATGTAGCCCAGGCTGGCCTTGAATCACAGCAATCTTTCTGCCTCAGTCTCCCAAGTGCTGGCAGGACAGGCAAAAAAACCACTTTTCTTTATAAATGGATGACCTTAGATATGTGTCACAATGACGGACAGCTGAGTAGCACAGAAGCAGAGTATTCCTAATTCAGAATCCAGTGCTGCGCAGCTGGAGACAGGTCTGAGTGTGCTATCTGCTTAAAATGTCTTGGATTAGAATGCTCAGGTGGTATTCAGGGTCTTTTAGAGTCTGCAGTTTCAGTCTACAGATTCTAAACTTTTGATTAAGTCTTTCATAAGCAAACCTAAAAGAAAACCAGAACCTAGCTAGTAGCAGCTTCTGAGGTATTCTCGCCTTACTCAAACAGTGCTTGACAAAAATCACTGCTTTTTTTTTTCTTTTTTTGCGGAACTAGGGATTGAACTCAGGCCTTGCACTTGCCAGGGAAGTGCTTATTCCACTGAGCCATCTCCCCAGCCCCCTCTGCTTCTTAACAGCCAGTTCTGGGCACACAGCTCACGTGCTATAAGAAGTGTTCTTGTTTCAGATGCAGAACGCTCAGGAGGCTGAATTTGCCTGGGCCTTTCTCTAAGCAGATAACAAACCTGAAAACTTACCATTTAATAGCTGATTTAGCGGAAAGATTCAAAAAAATCAGAGAAAATGGTTTAGCCATTTTAGTGTTCAGAACAACAAGAAATAAAATAATTTTATAAACATCATAGTTTTTACCTAAATTTTCAAGGTCCTTCTTGGTGACAAATTTGTAATCGTCATACACTGTGCTCTCTGGATTTTCTTCTAATTCTTCTGTCAGGTTGTCCAGGAAAGAGCACCAGCGGGGCGCGGGGCCTAGCACCTGCAGGTGTTCAGCGAGAGGTCAGCGACCTGCACGACGGCAGCCACGACACAGCCGCAACACCGCTGCACGTCCTTGAGCCTCACTTTCAGACTTATTTCTATTAGGAGGATTGAAAAGTGACTAGAATATGTGTGATGAACAAGTGAATAATGGAAAAGAATAAACAAAGCAGGGGGGAATCTAGGCAGGAAAGGGAAGAATTCAGTCTGGACTAGGGCGATGACAGTGAGTGTTCTGAGACCCGAGGCCCAGCTCGCTCTGTCCCTACCTGCTCCCGTGTGCTGGAGCACGGAAAGCATATTCACTACACGAGCTCTTGTTTTTATATATCTATATCTATATCTATATCTATATCTCAACCATAACAAACAAAAATCTAAAATGAGAATTACCTTTTTTCAAGATTTTCACTGATCAGTTGACAATTACACTCTGCCCTGTAAGGCCTACTTCATTTAATTCATTTAAAATTAAAGCTGTAGACATTAGTTAATAGCACTGCCTTTTATATTCTTGAAATTTGCTGACAGCTTAAGATTGAAAGGGTCCTCAAAACGTATGGATAAGTGGTAACACATGCTAACTGGCTTAGTGTAGCCCTTCCACCATTACAGGATACAGGTACACACTCACTTTTTGCCAACTAAAACTGAACCACCTGAATTCTGTCCAATCATGGAGTTCTTCAGACCTGACCTACACAGTGGCCAGCACTCATGCATCACTGAAATGGAAGACTCATGAAGGTGACAGAACAGAATTTATGACCAACGAACAGAGCCATGAAGAGTTAGGCTCGTAATCCCACAATCCCAGGTGGGCACTTACGCTACTCAGTTATCTCCCAGGCCCAATCCCACAATCCTGAGAAGGCTGATTACTGGGTGTGTCTTACTGTTGACCTCAATTTTCCTAGCACGGATGGCACACCCATTGCAACAGCGAGCCTGCTGCTAGGACAGGACACATGGGATAGGATCAAGCAGAACTCCCATGGATGATGGACTGGCTTGTTTTGGGAGTGATTTATACATGGGAAAAACCCAAATATCATAATGGGAACTTGTAAACCTGGCCTAACATTTTTGGAGAAGGGTAGGTAGGAGGAAGATGGTTATAACAAAAGGGAAGAAGTCCCAGTTAATTCCCTCTCCAATGAACAAAGAGAAGAGAGCTGTCAGCTCTGGCCAGCACTATTCTACCTGATGAGAAAGGCTCTCCGGCCCAGCAGAGGCTGGAGCTCGTGAGCAGGAAAACCAGGTTTCATGGGCACAAAGCGGCCTTGGGCAGTTTCATCTTGGGGCCATCTGTGTTACCTTTCAGAACAGAAGCAAAGTCTCAGTATACTCAGGGGTTGAACTCTAACCCACAAAAGACAAAAGAAAAGTCATTTTTAAAAAGTCAGCATAGGGGCTCAGTAGAATAAGCGCTTCCTGGGCAAGCGCAAGGGCCTGAGTTCAATCCCCGGTTCCGAGAAAAGGAAAAAAGAAGTCAAAGTAGAACAAAAGGAATTGCTGTGACTTTAAGCAATTTTAGGATAGTAGCTAAAAGCCAACAAATATTTCTGTGCGATGCTATTACCCTGAAAGCACGACACTGAGCCCCAGACAATGAGTGTAGTATTCTGAGGGAGCTGGGAGCATAGGGGCTGCAGGAAAGGGTGCATGTGGCCCAGGCAGTGATGTGGGTGAGGAGCTAAGGCTGCGCCGCTTCAGGGAGCACCCTTCAAGAGGCCTTCGAGTGGAAGGGATCGAGTGGATGGATCGGGCGTCTTCATGGGGAGTGGGAACTACATCCGCCTCAGTCTGAAGTGCATTTCCAGCACCTCTGACAGTGGCTGCCAGGTGGACTGCTCAATAAACAGCAAACATTTTCTGCTCAGACAGAAAGCACACAGGAATTTCTGGTACTTGAGGTATATAATTGAAAAGGTCTTCTTTGGCAAAAGTATTTTTAGATTTTAGATGGTCTAACTTTTCTTATTAAGGTAAAATCATTCATATACCCATATATTAACAAGGCTGTTCAGTGGAAGAACACATCTGAATCGGGGTCAGTTCTCTGTCAGCTGCTCTACCACAGGAATTCTGATTGTCTTTAACAGAAAACTACTTGTCTGACCCTGAGGCCAGTAAAGTGTGCGATGCTCAAATCCCTCATAAAATAGGATTTGCTGATAACCTCTGCCCATGTCTTGCATGCTTCAGTTTTAAATCATCTCTAGGTTACACATATACCCTATGTACACATTTACCCATTTCAGTACAAATGCGATTTTCCCCATATTTTCAGTCTGGCTGATGAATCTGTGGCTTGCACACTGCAGGGAGGAAAGACTGCTGTGACAGGGGCTCATGCAGTGTGCGTTCCGACCCCCTTGGGGATGAGCAGTAGGAAAACAAGCTGCCACACAGATGGGACTCTGCAGCCCTGTCGTGGCATTCTGGGTACTCCCTGCGATTAGTGACCTGGGTTTTAGTGGAACTGTTCTAAACTGCCTCTCAGGAGACAAGTCTAGTTCCAGTAAACAATCTGTGCCGGCAGGTTCATGTCATTACATTTTATGGGAGGAAATATTTCCATCAAAACCAAAATTAAGTCTAGCACTTGATTTCATTCATCATATTTCCCCAGTTCCTTTTCAGAGACAAACATCACAAGCATAGGAACAAATGGAAACAACCACGTCCACAGGCACAGCTGCAGGTTTTACCTACACCAGGGCTCCCCATGGGGTAAAAGAGTGGTCAGCTTGGCCAACAGGAGGGCACAGCTCTGCCTGATAGCCTGTCCCCGCTGCATGCTAATGTGTAAAAAAAATCACTGTCTTCATGGCCATGTCGTATGTTAAACCTCAAACAATCCTTAAAAATCCATGAATATAGGCCAGGTGTGGTGGCACACACTTATAATCCCAGAACTCAGAAGGCTCAGGCAGGAGGATCATCACAAGTTTGAGGCCAGACCAGGCTACACAGTATGTTCAAAGATAGCCTGAACTACACAACAACTCTATTTTGGGGCCAGGGAGATGGCTCAGTGGAATAAGCGCTTCCCTGGCAAGCACAAGGGCCTGAGTTCAATCCCTGGTTCTGCCAAAAAAAAAAAAAAAAAAAAAAAAAAAAAAAAAAAAAACAACAACTCTATTTTATTTCAACCCCTCATGGATATAGATATATAGATATAGATATATGAATTTAGTTCTTAGATTTTAGGTTTTGCAACCTGAGGAAAAGCTGGAGGTACAGCTTAGTAGTACAGTATGTGCCTGGTGTGCTGAGCCCTTGGTTCTATCCCCAGTTCTGGGGGGAAAACAATCCAGGTTTTCTATATGTGGTCATTACTGTTAAGACTCTACACTTTAGCCAAGCCCATCATTGTTTACATTTTTAAGTAATGGTACCTTAAGAATTTTGTTTCAGGAAACCGGAAGCTTGTTCTATTTTAAAATTTTATTATCTGTTAATAACCTTTCATTCCTAAAGTCAAAGGTCAGTAAAAGTAGAGCAGTGAAATGTGATTCATCTGATTGTTACAAAGGGTTAATGGCAATCCTATCAACCATCTACATGGGAATATGCAGTCCTCCAAAAGATCAAATAATTCACATCCAAGCTAGGTGTCATGGATCACATCTATAATCTTGGGAGGCTGAGGCAGGTAGATCGCTGAAGTTCAAAGCCAGCCTGAGCTAACAGTGAGTTCAAGATCAGCCTGAAGTACACAGCTGGTGGTGGCACAGGGACTGGATCCACACCTGTAACCCACTTACTTGATCACTGAAACAAGCTGCAGCCCTTTTAAATTTTGGGGACAGGGTATGACTAAATCATTGAGGCTGGCCTCGAATTTGTAATCCTCCTGCCTCAGCCTCAACAGCTGGGATTACTGATATACAACACTGTGCCTGAAATATACTTAATTTTAAAAATCAAACTTGTCACATATTTTGCTAACAGACAAGATCATCTAGGCATGAAACAACTTACAGCTCCGCTGGAGGCTTCAAACTCAGAACTAACTTAGCAGCATTCCAAACTGACTTTTTTTTTTTTTTTTTTTTTGGTACCAGGATTGAACTCAGGACCTTGTACTTTCCAGGCAGGTGTGTGCTTACACCGCTGAATTATCTCCCCAGCCCTCTAAACATACAGACTTGATATTCCTGCTACAGTGAGGAATTGGGGAAACTGTGTTACTGTCCAGGAGTCCACTGTATTTGAACTGAGAAAGATTTTATTTAAAACCATGACATTCCTTTATAAAACAAATCTCCTGAAGTTCTTTGTTAGGTACGCAGAAGACAGACTTAGTTAAGCTAAGTTAGGCTCATCTGGCATTGAAGTGAAATGCTCATCATGAAAAATCAAACAGAATATGGGGGGCCGGGGAGATGGCTCAGTGGAATAAGCGCTTCCCTGGCAAGTGTAAGGACCTGAGTTCAATCCCCAGTTCCGCAAAAAAACACAATATGAAAAAACTTCAGCTTCTATTTTGCCTTCAATGTTCAAAACAAAAAAAGAGGAAAATAATTAAGAACAAAAAAAGAGACTGAGATCTTTGCGTGGTCCTCCCTCCCTCCTGGGTCCGCTGAGTGCAGCGAGGATGGTTGCTGACCCTCAGATGCTCCGAGGCCCCATGCACCTCCAACACCATCCCACAGCACTGAACCTGCAGAGCTGTGCCCTTGAGTTCTGTCCAGGATTTGCCCAAACAACGCCTCCAAGCATAGCTAAAGCCTCTGCTTCCAGACCTTTCCCCTTCCAATTTCCTCTGGACACTTTCAAGGGCTGAGCCCCAGGCTGGCGGCTCCAAATGTCCCAAGCCCACCTGCTAGTGGCCGCCTGACTGCACATCCGTGAGGTCCTCACTTCTAACCCCTGCCAAAGGACATACAGATGACTTGGGTTAGCCTGGGTTAGCACATTGGCAGCTTCTGGCTCTCCCCTACTTCCTTATGGGCAAAAGTGATTAATCCTTTTCAGAGTATTCTTCCT